TTTCCTTTAATTGCCAAAATCGGCTAGGGGATATTGATGGGCACTGATCTTTTATTTTCATTTTCTATTATTGTATTTTAACTTGGATTTTCTTTAACTTCAAATATATTTTTAGATTTTCCTTTTCTTTTTTCTTTCTTCCCTCCACCTTATTTTTTGGTGCAGATAGTGGGGCGTAAGCTCAGGATCTCACACTTGCACTTGCTTTTTTTACTCCAAGCTGGTGCTCTACCACTTCAACCACACTTCCATTTACAGCTGGAAATAGGAGTCTCATTGACTTTTCTGTCCTAGTCTAGCTTCAAACCACCTCTTGAGCAGACAGAATTACAGGCTTGAGCCACCAGCTCCCCTGATTATTATTATTATTATTATTTTGCTTTGTAGTGCAGGCTAGACTGGAACTCTCAATTCTCCTGTCTCTGGGATCATAGAACATTACTTCGCTTCATTTTTGCATTTTGAAGATGGCTAATACCCTCAAAATATTCTTCTTTACAACAATCAGTAGCTGTTTCTAGGCCCAAAAAAGGTATTTCCTTGCCTTAAATTGCTTACAAGCCTCTTTGACAAATACATACTTGCAAAAAGACAAGTGATAAACTTACTTGTGGAAGCAACTTCATATTATCTAGTAAAGATGAAGCAGTATATTCTTTCAAAGCCGCACACTCTATTGAAATACACATGCCTATAAGAATGTTCATATAATCCCTGCTGATAGGTGTCAAAACTATTGGGAATAATCATAATACATGTGATCTTTTTCATTTAGTAGTATGTTTTCAAGTTTCATCCAAGATCAGTAATTGATTCAGTTTTTGTTATCAAACAATATTCTACTGTATGGATGTATTGCATCCATCTTATTGTGTGAATGAGTGTCTGTTTATCTATTAGCAAACAGTTTGGTTGTTTCCATGTTTGGCCAATTGCTATCCCAAACATCTGTGAAAAGATGTACGTGGGTATGTTTTGTATGTATACCTAGAATTCCTGGGTTATGCATGCAGTAATTGGCTTTTCACAGCTCTCCCTGTCCATTCTGTCCACCTTTCAGAACCCATATTCTGCTGGGTTTTTTTTTTTGTCACTTCCCACGCAAAATCAACTTCCCTAGTTCTCCCTCTGTGTGTTACAATGTGGTGCCTATCAATTTGCTCTGATGCTCAGTCATTCCTGCCTGCCTGTTTCCTTTGTGATACTATGAATTTCTAGAGCACACAGGAGGCACTTCACTGTTGTGTACTCCAAGGTAATGAGTGCACTGCCTGCAGGCACTCTACAAATGTGAATACAAGTGTGAGTTTCAAATGTTTGATTCTGCAAAAGTTATCTGATATTAAATAATCATTCAGCTGGGAGCTAGTGTTCAAGTCTGTATCACTAGCTACTCAGGAGACTTGAATCTGTGTTAAGGTTTGAAGCTAGTCCAGTCAGGAAAGTCTGTGAGACTCTTAATTCCATTAACCAGAAAAAATTTCAAAATGAGCTGTGATTTTGGACCTCCTCCCATACCCTCCTCAAAAAAAATCAGAGACAGTGGCCAGGTTCTTGAGTTCAAACCCTAGCACTGGCAAAATAATGTTCACTTTTACACTTCATCACTAAATGTTGGCGAATAATACTTGAAATAAATATGTACAAGGTGAACTGATTTGGACTTTAAAGTATCTTGAATGTCACAGGCTATCATTCTGGGTATATAATTAAGAAAAATGAGACATTAAATAAAATCTAGAGATTTGAAAATACCAATAGCACAATTTGAACAAAAGTAAATGATGTGAAATGTTAAAACTAAATTTTGTTTTGTGCCAGTCCTGGGGCTTAAACTCAGGGCTTGGGTGCTGTCCCTGAGTGATTTTTTTGCTCAAGACAAGTACTCTACCACTTGAGGGGCTCTTTGGTGGTTAACTGGAGGTAAGAGTCTCAGACTTTCCTGCCTAGGCTGACTTTGATCCTCAGATCCCAGCCTTCTGTGTAGCCAGGATTCTAGGCATGAGCCACCAGCACCCAATGAAACATTAAAGTTTCAAATTTCATATAAATGTTTTAAAGCAAATTGATTTTTTCCTCAATGTTTTCTTTCCTCGGTATTCATTATTGGGTAGTTATAAAGTCTTAAAAGGCATATATGAACAAAAATTAAGCTTTTACTCATATTGAGAGCCTGTTTTTAACCTTAGATGGAAAAGAAGAGAAAGAACTCCCTCTCTAGACCTCTAAGTGTAGACCCCAACTCTGGTGCAGTCTTGGGTTCCATCAAGATTATCCTCTCATTCTCAGCATAATTGTTCGTGTCCATAGTCAGAGGTTCAAGGTGACAGGGTTTGATACATTTTTTACTTTTTTTTTTTGATTGTCCTGGGAATTGAACTCAGGGCCTGAGTATTGTCTTTGAGTTTCTTTTGCTCAAGGCTAATGCTCTAACACTTGAGCCACAGTGCCACTTCCAGCTTTTTCTGAGTAGTTTATCAAAGACAAGAGTCTCACAGACTTTTCTGCCTTGGATAGCTTCGTACTGTAATCCTCAGATCTCAGCCTCCTAAGTAGCTAGGATTACAGATGTGAGCCACCAGGGCCTGGCTATTTTTTTTTTTTTTTTTTTACTATTTTTAAATAAAATGTAAATATTAAATAACAGCATCCTACCATGTTCTTATTTATGTTTGTGTATATGTGAGTAGATAGATAGATAGAGATATACAATCACAAAAATATTCTGGATTAAGAATGAAGGCCCAGAAATAAACTACACATATTAATGTGTACATACATATATATCTATTGATATATGTACTTACCTTGTGCTACCTTTCACAATCAAGGGTAATGATGCTTAAAAAACAGTGGCTAGGGCTGGGAAGGTGGCTCAGTGGTAGAGCGCTTGCCTTGCATGCCTGAGGCCCTGGGTTCGATTCCTCAGCACCACATAAGAAAAAAGCCAGAAGTGGCACTGTGGCTCAAGTGGTAGAGTGCTAGCCTTGAGCTGAAGAGCTGAGGGACAGTGCCCAGGCCCAGAGTTCAGGCCCCACGACCGGACCAAAAAAGAAAAAAAACAGTGGCTAAGTTACACTAGAGTCTCTGGGGCAGGACTTGTTTTAATTTTGTGCTAGTACTGTGGCTTGAACTCAGCATATGCTCTTACTTAGCTTATGTTCTCATGGCTGATGCTCTACCATTTGAGCCAGACCTATAGCCTAACTTTTTGCTGGAGATGGATTCTCAGAGACTTTTTTGCCCAGACTTATTTTGAACCTTAATACACTCGATTTAAGCTAGGGTTACAGTACTTTTTGTTTTTATGCATGTCCTGGGGCTCGAATTCAGGGCCTAGGCACTGTCCTTGAGCTTCTTTGCTCACGGCTAGCTCTACCAGTTGAGACACAGCTTTACTTCCAGCATTTTGGGGAGTTAATTGGACACAATAGTCTCAGGGGCTCCTGCCCAGGCTGGCTTCAAACTGTGATCTTCAGATCTCAGCTTCCTGAGTAGTTAGGATTACGAGTGTGAGCCATTGGCATTCAACTGTATGCATTATTTATAAGAGCATCTTAAGTTAAATTTGAGAACAAGCAAATTAGGTCATACTAGATCAGAGATTAACACAAGATAAACCTATGCAAGTGTAGGTTTACTTTTGCTATTTTCTTGGGCATGGTGTTTCTAATAAAAAAAACTGATCTCTTGTTGATTGTGACTTAAAAATGAGCTGTAGGCCAATTTTGGTTTTGAAGAATATAGATCTAGAGCCAATTGTATTTTGCCAATATCATTTTCAAGCCCTCACTTGTCTATTTCTATTGCTGCCCATAAGTGTCCTGATAAAATTTCTAGATGTCGGGGCTGGGAAGGTGGCTCAGTGGTAGAGCCTTGCCTTGCATGCCTGAGGCCCTGGGTTCTATTCCTTAGCACCACATGAGCAAAAAGAAAAAAGCCGGAAGTGGTGCTGTGGCTCAAGTGGTAGAGCGCTAGCCTTGAGCTGAAGAGCTGAGGGACAGGGCCCAGGCCCAGAGTTCAGGCCCCATGACTGGACCCAAAAAAAAAATTCTAGTTGTCATTATTGTAACCATAGTTACTAGAATAGTCACCACTTTGCTGAAGTGGCTGCTGAGTGAAGGGCTGGGAAAGTGAGCTGTAAAATCACAGCACTGCAACCACAATTCTACCTAAAGCAGACTGGTACTCATGTTTAACCTATAGCACTACTTTTTTGTTGTTGTTGTTATTGGCTGTGGGGCTTGAATTTGGGGCTTGGGTGCTATCCCCAAGCTCTTATGCAAAGGCCAGGGCTTTACCACATTAAGCCACAATGCCACTTCTGGTTTTCTGGTGATTAACTGGAGTCTCACAATCTTTCCTGCCTGGGTTGGCTTTGAACTGCAATCCTCAGATCTCAGCCTCTTGAGCAGCTAGGATTACAGATGTGAGTCACTAGTACCCAGCTAGCACTAAGTCTTTAGCATAGGTGCTTACCAGACTCATTCTAGGAACTTTAAAATGAATCCATACATTCTAAAACCACACATTACTTGAATCAATCAGTAGAGGAGCCGCCCATGCAAGTGGACTTTTAGAAATGTTCAGGATATTTTTGTGATTGACCTTGGGTGGAACTTGTGTTCATCATGTCCTTATTTGTACTCAGTTAATCTATAGAGAGGCAAATTATGAGAGAAAACTTGAAAAAAGAATTTAGGAGCTACCTTGCAGTAGTTTTTAGAGAAGAGAGCACTCTATGGCTCTCTGAGAAAATGAAGTTAGAGGTTAGATGACCGCCTGCCATGAATGATGCTGAGGGGTTTCCAGATTTGGTGTACTTGTAACTCATGTAGTTTAAGGTGGTGAGAAGAAAGAGAAGCCAAAACTTAAAGGGAAGCTAAAACTTAACAGATTACTTGCAATGGATACAGATACAGATACACACACACACACACACACACACACACACACACACACACACACACACACACACACACACACACACACACACTGCCTTAAGATACATCATTTTACTAGGAATAACATAATAAACTGTAACTGTCCAAGTCCATGACACCTGTGTTCTGAAATAATATTGTATTCTTCTTCTCAAGCCACTGAACATTTAAAATTATAGTTACAAGAGGCACAAGCATAACAGGGAGGCCCTCTGTCCTTTCTGACATTGCAACTTCTACTTTATTGGCAACAGTCTTAGTCATGATCAGCAGAAGTTGGTCCTGGGCAATTTGCAGAGAGGTCTTCTTTATCTGTAATTATGAGATGGAAATTAAAAAATACAATTTTTATAGTAAGCTTCCAGAAAGAAACTTCAGTATAGCGATTGTTTTTGATTATTTCCCATTTACTCTGCTAACCCAGGAAAAGATTAAAAAAACCAAAACCATATCCCAAAATCCTTCCTTCTCAAGCATTAAGTCCTTAAATACTAGTTAGCAAAGGCAGTTTGCTCACATGTATTAGCAGAGGAGGCACTTGGCTTCATAAGACATTTGGCAAGTTTGTTTCTTCTTCTTCTTTTGGTGGAATTGGGATTTTGAAAGTTGGGCCATGACTTGAGCCATACCTCGAGGCCTTCTTGCTTTAGGTTATTTTATAGATAGGCCTCATGTTTCTGTGTAAGCTGGTCTCAGCCTTTGTTTCTCCTACCTATAATTCTCATACAAATGGGATTAATAGACATGAAACACATGCCCAGCTTGTTTGTTGAGATACGGTCTTGCTCATTTTTTGCCTGGGATGGCCTCAGCATGTGATTCTGATCTTTGCCTCCCAAGTAGCTAAATTATAGGCATGAGCCACTATGCCTGGCCACCAGTTGGCAAGTTTTAAACGGATTCTTTCTTCACAATGAGCAAAACAATGAAGTGGATTTGTAGCATATTTGCCTTCTATGGCTCAGGGATAATTCTCTTTATGTAAGAACTAGGTTTTGAAGATTTTTTGGTGGCACTGGACTTAAACTCAGGGTCCTCAGCTGGCTGGCACTTGGTAGGCAGGTGCTCATACCACCAATCCTTTTCACTTTCCTTATTTTTCAAATAGGGTCTTATATTTATTTCTGGGCTGGCCTCAGAAAGTGACTATCCTATTCCTAGGATAATCATGGCTTGAATAACAGGTGCATACCCAGGTTTTTATTGGTTCAGAAGGAGTCTTGCAAAATTTTGCCTGGGCTAACCTGTAATCATGATTTTCCTAATTGCAGTCTCCTCAATAGCTAGTATTGTTAAGTATGAGCAACCATATCTGATTTATAAAAAACCAGTTCTAAAAATTTAACATAAATACCTTTTGTTTTTGCCACTCTTGGGGCTTGAACTTAAGGTCTGGCCACTGGCCCTGAGCATCTGTTGCTCAAGGCTAGCACTTGAGCCACAACATCGCTTCTGGCTTTTTCTGTTTATGTGGCATTGAGGAATCAAACCCAGGGCTTCATGCATGCTAGACAAGCACTCTACCACTAAGCCACTTTCCTAGTCTTAGATATGATTTTTTTTAAACAAAATTCTGAAAGATTCTCTATTGTCTACTCAGTTACTGAAAAGCTAAAAGGAATTCTAATAAGCTTTCAGTTATTTCAGTAGTAATTATTTCTTTAGGACATTGGGCCCACATCACTATTTGAATGAAATAGGAAGTTCTGACTATGTTTGGGAAATGTGCCTTTCATTGAACGTAAAAAAGCACTCATCTTTACTAGTCAAAAATATTACCAACCACCTTCCTACCTTCATAGGCTGTTCCACACCAAATGCAATACAGATGTTCTTCTCTTAAATAACTAGTCAATATTTGTAGTTTTTCCAGAACCTAGACATAGGATGTATACACATGAGTACTTTACAAGGAACAGAACCTTATTATTATTATTATTTTGATCTTAGATCTAAGTCAGCCCAGGTTGTAAATCTTCTGCTGTATTTTCAAATAGTTTCCATAAGTATCAAAGGCAGAAGTAATATATTTGAATGTATCCTAGGTGACTAGTCACCCAGAGATTTGCACAACCTGACAAACACAATAAAGACTACTGGTTAACATTAAGAAGATAGATTTTGGCTAGCTCTGTGATAACCAGTATCCTTAAAGACCCTTTCTACTTTCAATGAATCTACCTGCTGCACCCCTTCCCCACCAGATGGGGTAAAGGTGAGCACTGTTTCCTTTCTGCCATGAACATACTCATTCGTCATCTCACGTATAAAAAGGTTTCAAACTGACTGCTCTCTACAAGATTATTACACACAAGCAAGCACAGGGGAGATAGTGTTCTCCTTTCTTGAATCATCTTCCTTCAGGTTTTCTGTTTGGATGATGGGCAAGGGAAACATGAACACATCTGAATCAACTCTTGAAGTTTTAGCAGGACACAAGGTGTAAGTTAAAATAATTCACATTTGCACTGAATTTATCATCCAAACTGAATCTGAGGGACAAGCAGGAGCTTACTGGAAAATGTCATGCAATTTTGATTTGGGGCTCATAATGCAGTAAAGCAGAAGTTCTCAGCCAGGGTTCTTTTTCCTCTGAAGATAGTAAGCAATGGTGAGGCATTTTTGATGTCCCAGGGTCATCTGGAAGCAGCAGCCAGGAATTTAGCCACAAATCTTACAACACTAGGACAGCTGCCCACAATTACCCAGCTCAAAGCATTAATAGTGTCAAGGCCAAGACCCCATGCTATGAAAGAAAGACAATGGTCAACACATACACTTAAATCTTCACTCCTATATTCATCTTCATCCTGTTCTTCTTCCTCTTCCTCTTCGTCGGTCTCCTCTTCAGGTCTCAACCAGTACCATGCTTCCCTGGGAACCTCAATATTCTGAAAATGTACAATTATTCTCATAAGACATAAATTACATAATAAGACTATCACAAGTATGTTCATGTGAACATAAATTCAATCTTCCAATAAATACTGACTGCGTACTATATAAGAGTAAAGCACTGCACCATGAATGATGGGAATGCAAAGTCCAATTAGAATTTTGTCTCCCAGTTGCTGCTGATAGTCTAGCAGAAAAGTTAAGCCATGTGTAAAAAATAATGCACACAAGCGTAAGTGTCACAAGTGTCAGAAATACATTTCAAAACATAGCAAGGTGAGAGATTGCTTCTAGCAACCTATTTATGGATGAGAAAATTTTACCAATGTTTTTGAGTCTTTAAATGAAGTCATTTATTTGGTCAAACCAGAACCACTAAGATAAAAGCAAAGAAAGAATTTTTCTTTTATGTTTTCAGACACTTTGTACTCATATACTGTTTTGTAGAATGGGAACTTCTTTGTACTTAAAGATAATTAAAAAGAACCAAGAAAAAATAAATCCTTCTTTGTAGTAAAAAAAAAAAAAAGAAATATTCTTTTAGATCATTCAAATCTGAAACAGATTTAATAGCTTCATGTAAGAGTCATAATATGGGCTGGAAATAGGTTATTCTAACTGAATATGATTGAGAACAGAATTTCCACAGATTCTAGTACTAAGTAATTAAAATTTGTATTAGCAAAGAACAACTTATTTAACTCTTATTGGTTAACTTAGGTTTCTGCAGTGAGCAAGCCATTATTGTATCATTATCACATCTCAGTAGTATACTTAGATGAAAGTTTTCAACGCTAGATTAATCAGGCTTGAAGTCATTTTTTGTTTTATGCCAACTGGGGATTGAACTGAAGATTTCCAACTCTCACTTGGCTCACAGCTGGTATTCCACCACTTGAGCCACAACTCCAGTTCTGGCTTTTTGCTGGCTAACTGGAGATAAGATTCTCTTGGATTTGTTGGCTACAGTTGTCTGACTTAGAATCATCAGACTTCAGCTTCCTGAGTAGCTAGAGTTCTAGTGTGAGCTATCAGTGCTGGTTTGGAGTTTTCTTTTCTTAAGTAAAAATATTTGGCTTATCATACTGAGCTATCAAAATGCTACAAAACTGAAAGCCAATGACAGCTTACCTTCTGGCTATCCAACTGTTGACAGGCGCGCTGGCTTCTTTTAAGATCTCCTTCTAGTTTCATCTCATCCTGCTTATTTTTAAGTCGCTTTCTAAAATAAAATATTATGAAGTCCATATAACCTTTAACATTTTTATATACCAAAGTACCAGAAAACATACCATGATAAAGAACATTTGAAACTGGTGCCTGGGGCTCACGCCTGTCATCCTAGCTACTCAGGAGGCTGAGATCTGAGGATCACAATTCAAAGCCAGCCCGGGCAGGAAAATCCGTGAGACTCTTATCTCCAATAAACCACTAGAAAACCGGAAGTGGTGCTATGGCTCAAGCGATAGAGCACTCGCCTTGAGCTGAAGAGCACAGGGATAGCGCCCAAGCCCAGAATTCAAGCCCCACAACTGACCAAAAAAAAATTTATATTTGAAACCAAGACAGTTCAAATATAATTTTACCGAAACTGTTCTTCAGCTTTTTCTTCAGCTTGGTTTTTCATGTGAATCTTTCTTCTGTAGTGTTCTAATTTTTCCTCTGCTTTCCGTTTTAATAATGCCTCATGACCAATGCCACTTTTCCCTGTTTGAAGACAAAAATTCTGATAAGAAACTTCCTGGTTGTTTTTTTTTTACTTCAAACATGACATTTTTTTTTTTTTTTTTACTTTTTGGTGTTGGTCCTGGGGCTTAAATTCATGGCCTTGTGCTCTTGGTTGGCTTTTTCTGTTCAAGGCTAGAGTTACATACCTGTTTTGACATGGAGAGGAATTGGTTCAACAATACCATCGCCTAAAAAAAAAGAGAGGACAAAATGCAGGTCAGTATAGATTAGACAATTCATATCCCTCCTTAGTTTCAATGACTTCCAAAACTGAAAAATTAATGCTCTATATACATAATAAGCCACTTTCCTTGCCTTCAAATACCTACTCCTCAGTAAGGCTGACTCATGGCCTCTTAGATTAGCTTAAGAAATGATACTATTGCTATAACAGGTCCAAGACAATAACATCCTTAAGAGAATGCAAAGCCTATCTAGGTGAAAATCAAAGCAATTACAATAAAGAAAAATAGCCTAGGAGGCTACCATCAACTGGCACTGTCCCTGTGCTCTTTAGCTCAAGGTGAGCGCTTGACCACTTCAGCCACAGCGCCACTTCTGGTTTTCTAGTGGCTTATTGGAGAAAAGAGTCTCATGGACTTTCCTAGCTTTGAACCATGATCCTCAGATCTCAGCATCCTGAGTAACTAGGATTACAGGCATGAACCACCGGCGCCTGGTGGCTACCATCAATTTATACCCTTTGTATCCATGTAAGCAGTTTCACTTCCAAAAGGGAAAAGAATAGAACTGCTCTAGCTGGACAGTCACTCAGACAGCTGTTCCAGGTTCAGAGCAGAGGCCAGAGCCCTGTTATCACCTCAATGCTGTCTCACTGTCCTGTGGCCATTGTACTTTTCAGTCCATAATTTGTCACCATCCTTTGAGGACTTCATTGTAAACCAGGTCCACTAGACACCAGTTGTAAATGTTTCAACACTGTGCTATTTTTTCATGGCACATGAGGTAGTTAAAATGGATACAGGGAGCCGGGCGCTGGTGGCTCACGCCTGTAATCCTAGCTACTCAGGAGGCTGAGATCTGAGGATCACGGTTCAAAGCCAGCCCGGGCAGGAGAGACCGTGAGACTCCTATCTCCAATAAACCACCAGAAAACCGGAAGTGGCGCTGTAGCTCAAGTGGTAGAGCGGTCGCCTTGAGCTGAGGGACAATGCTCAGGCCCAGAGTTCCAGCCCCACGACTGACCAAAAAAAAAAAAAAAGGATACAGGGGTTCTGGGAAGGTGGCTCAGTGGTACAGAGCTTGCCTTGTAAGCATGAGGCTCTGGGTTCAATTCCTCAGTACCACATAAGCAGGAAAAGCTGGAAGTAGTGCTGTGGCTCAAGTGGTAGAGCGCTAGCCATGAGCAAAAGAAGCTCAGAGACAGTACCCAGGCCCTGAGTTGAAGCCTCAAGACTGGCAAAAAAAAATGGACATGGGAAGATAAGTTCTCTATATGATTTATTATCACAGAAGAGACAAAGACGGTTAAGGGTTTTTTTTAGCTGGATAAGGGTGAAAGTCATCTCTGCTCCTCAACAATATATCAAAATGTGATAGTTACAAAGTGCTTAACAATATATCAAAATGTGATAGTTACAAAGTGCTTATTTTTTAACGTATCTCACCACTTTTGCCAAGAGCCTGACCACTTTTATATCCCATCTTCTGGAGCAAGGCAAACCCTTTGTTTTCACAGCCTAGTGCACTCTTCAGCCCAAGGGTACGTCTTTCTTGTTCTTCTTCTTTTAAACTCTTCTGTCTATTTTTCAAATTAGCTTCCTGTTGCTTTTCTTCTTTTCGACGAGCTTCTCGAATTTGCCTCAGCATAGGCAATCCTGGCCTGATGTCTTCCCTGAAAAATAAGAGGAAATGGTTATTTTAGATGAGTATGTGAAGTGCTTCATAACTTCAGCATTTACACAGTTGATACTACTTAATATTTCAGTTTTCCAGCACTGCCTCCATGATCATCTTTGTTGTCACTGCTATTAGGTAAAAGCAGAGATTCTCAGGAATGGCTGTTTTCATAGAAATGATGAAAACTAAAGATCATATACAAATGAAATTAGAAATAATAAGTTTAGGGCTGGGAAGGTGGCATGCTTTGCATGCATGAAGCCCTGGGTTCGATTCCTCAGCACCACATAAGCATAAAAAGCCAGAAGTGGCGCTGTGGCTCAAATGGTAGCGTGCTAGCCTTGAGCTGAAGAGCTGAGGGACAGTGACTGCTCAGCCCCAGAGTTCAGGCCCCACGACCGACCTCCCGCCACTCAAAAAAAAGAAAAGAAAGAATAATAAGTTCAGATTGATTTTCCTAGGAAATCAGCAATAATAAGGAGAAAAACTGAATAGAAGCCAGAAGAGACAGGAAGACGAAATAAAGGAAAAGTGTATTAGCCAAGAACCAGTGGCTTATGTCTGTAGTCTGAGCTACTCAGGAGGCTGAGAGCTAGAGGATAATGGGTCAAAGCTAGTCAGGGCAAAAATAAAGAAATTAAATATCCTTTGAGTTTCCATCCCTAACCAGTAAAATGACTTTGGAAGCATGGCTCAAGTAGTACAGTGCCAGCTGTAAGCAAGAAAGCCAAGTGTAAAGTTGAAGGCCTTGATTTTAAGCCTTGGTAAAGGCATACATGCACACACACACAAAAGTGTATTTCCTTAGAAGAGGTTACAATGGATTAAGAAAAGTAAATGAAGTTGGATGCCAGGAGGTCCCACCTGCAATGCTAGCTACATAGGAGGCTGAGGTTTGAGGATCACAGTTTGAAGCCAGCCTAGGCAGGAAAGTCTTTGAGACTCTTACTTCCAATTAACCACCAGAAAGCTGTAAGTGGAGCTGTGGCTCAAGTGGTAGAATGCTAGCCTTGTAAAAATGTTCAGGGACAATGCCCAGGTCCTGAGTTCCAGCCTACAACTGGCATAAAAATAATAATAATAAAAATGAAAGTAAATGATAGCACCAACAGGGAGAAAAAGATTCCTAGTATCTTTGAAGGACACATAGGAAGTGCCACCATAAAGCAGTTAAGACTTTCTGATGTCACACTTGAAAACCAACGTCCCTGTTTCACAGTCTACACATGTATTATACATATCATTACATTAAGAGTACAATTTACTTACTGGACATTAATGAAGGAATCAGACATATAGTCCTCTTCTTCTGCCATGTTCAACTTCAAATGGCAATTCAATCTATAAGTCAAATGGGATAAAGTAATAGTATTGTTTTATTTTTCTCAGTATCTCTCACCAGGACCTTTCTCTAGAGCTCTACTACATATTCAAGTGTTCCTGAGTGTCTTTACTTGTGAAGCTCTTAAACTCAATAGTCCAAACTTCCCACATTCCCCATATTTCTCCACTAACATCATCACTCTACCTCCTCTAGATCTTTTTTTTTTTTGGATGCAGTTGTGGGCCTGAACTCTGGGCCTGGACACTGTCCATCAGCTCTTCAGCTCAAGGCTAGCGCTCTACCACTTGAGCCACAGCGCCACTTCCGGCTTTTTTCTTTTTGCTTATGTGGTCCTGAGGAATCGAACCCAGGGCCTTAAGCATGCAAGGCAAGCACTCTACCACTGAGCCACCTTCCCAGCCCCTCCTCTAGATCTTTTATAAACCTGTCTCATTCCCCCCACCCCGCTTAGTTATGACCAGTACTTCAGTTCAAACACCTTCTTCTCATTTGAAGTATTTCAAAAGCTTTCTGATGGCCGTTGTCTTTGCATCTCTTCTTCCCAAACCACCTCTAATAGTCTTTTAATTTCTGCTCCTTTAGATTCAAATAAGGTCAGGTTACTTCTGTCTGTTTCAAACCCTTCAATACACTTGACCCTGTAGGCAGTGAAGGTCCAGTCACATTAGCAAAGCAGAAGATAACCTCACCCATCACAATCTAACCCCTACTTGTCCATTAGAGTTTCTTACTGAAGTTCTATGGGCTACTCATTACTCTTGAGACATACTTCAGCTATTCTTCTTTCAAGGCCAAGGATATCATCCATCTGCTCCAAAATCTGTGCTGACCACTCCAGGCCTATCCACAGCCCTTTATGTGCTGTATGTTTAAGCTTGCCTGGAACTTGATAAATTAATACCTTGCTTACATGGAAATATTGTGAGGAACATTCCCATCCATAGTTAAAAATCATGTAATTATTAGCCCTTAGAGGGTTTAAATAATCATCCAGAAAAGGGCTTCTTAAACTTCTTTGTGTATATGAACTACCTAGGATCTTCTTCTATTGTGTGTGGAGCATGAAGCTTTGTATTACTCCCAGGTTCTCAGGCAATGTCAGTGCTGCTGTCTAGCTGCTGGGAACTTGGTACAGTACTACTTGGTACAGTTAGGCTGTTTTGGTTTTTCCCATCCTAATTTCTTCTGAGAATCCATTCTTCTGCCACCCAGGTGGTTCTAGTGGAGGATGGCACTGTGAATACCCTTGGGTGAATTCCCTTAGGTACAATGGTGGCCAATTATAACATCCTATGTCCCAGCAATGGGGATGGTAAGAGAACACCTCAGTAAGAACAAACACTATCTCTTTTGCTACATATGAATACATGGGTTATGGAGAATGAAACTGTTTTCATTGGGCATTCTAACTGGAGTATGTAAAGTTGGGACTGTCATATGAAGAGAACCTGTCTGCAGTATGGAGTCAGATAAACAACATGAACAAAGACAGGCCTTACAGCAAAGAGGCTTAATTCCCAAGGCCCTTGTTTTTAGGACGCTGTGACTAGCATCCCTCCCCACTAAATGGCCTAGTAAATTTCTACATTACTTAAGCTTGCTTGAAAAGAGGCTTCATCAACTGCAACAAAGAGTCTGGACAATTATCCTGGATGAAAAAAGTATTACTATATAGGTTTTTCACTATATATCTTCCCAAGTAGGCTTGAGAACACAAACACAAGTTCTTTAGATCATCCCTACCTACCACTATGGTAGGTTCTAAGTAATGCTTTAGCGATAATGTGTTCAAGAAAGGTCTTTATTTATCCTTAGTTTGTAATCATAGGCCACTTTATTCCTCTGTCAGTATTTTAAAAAATTACAAATATCTCAGAAGTATAGAGAACCACAAAAAAAATGTATTATTGGGTTCCAAGACGAGCTACTCCTAATGATTCTTGCCTCTTAGGATTTTTTTAGTCAAAAGCATAAAGTGGATTTGATAATTAATTAGAAGGAAGTGAGCTGTCATATAATGAAAACACTCAAGAAGTTCTATGCAGAAGTCCACAAGGGAGGAACTAAGACCTTTTGTCAACAGCCAACACAAATGAGTGTGCCACTTTGGAAATGGATTATCTAGTCCCAGTGAAGCCTTCAGATGGCTCAGACTGGCTGGCATCTTCACGACCATTTTGAGAACATCCACGTAAAGCTAAGTTGCTCACAAACTCCTTTTTATTCCTTTACCTCATACTGAATTCAGGACTTCATACTTATATTTGCTAGGTATCCAGTCCTTCTTAGCTTATTTACTTTTCAGATGGGGTCTTGTGTTTGTTCTCTAGGGCCAGAGTTGGATGGTGATCCTTCTACCCATGCCGCCAGAGTAGCTGAGATTACACATGACCAGTGCACCCAGCTTGTTTTTCCAGAGATAAGATCTCTAATTTTTGTCTTAGCTAGCCTTGGATTCCTATCTCTGTTTCTCCAGTAGCTGGGATTATAGGCCTGAGCCACTATGCCCAGCTTGCTACTAAATTCTTGACACACAGAAATGGAGTTAATAAAGGACTACAAAATTTTAAGCTGCTAAACTGTGATACTGTTATATAGCAAAAGTCATCACTACATCAGGATCTAGAACTTTATCATCCATGTGGGAACTGTCTTTAACCCCAACCCAAATGTATCCTTACTTTGGTTTAAGGAAGAGTCACTATTGAATCATTTATACCCATATTTTGTTCCTCTAGAATTTCCTTTTCCGTTTTCAACATCTGCATTCCTAAACATTACAATTCAGTTTTGGTTTTAAAAGCACAGGTTAAGGGCTGGGAAGATGGCTCACTGGAAGAGTGCTTGCCTTGCATGCATGAGGCCTGGGTTCAATTTCTCAGTATCACATAAGCAGAAAAACCCAGAAGTGGTACTGTGGCTTAAGTGGTAGAGCGCTAGCCTTGAGCTGAAGAGCTCAGGGACAGTGCCCAGGCCCAGAGTTCAGGCCCCACAACTGATACATACATACATACATACATACATATATATGTTAAAGATATGTACAGCAGTTACAGTCATTCACCTTTGCCTACACTTCACATTCTTCACTTGCAATAGTATTTTTACATGTAACGCTTAGTGCTCACCCACGTTACAAGTATCTCAATTAGGTAAGAACAGTCTCATTTTCCAGTTGGAGAAATTTAAGATTCCATATGGCTAACGGACTTGCTTGCAGCCACAAATAATGTGGGTCTCAGTGGTCTTACTGCTGAAAACAATTAGATGATTAATTTTGCTTCACTGCGGTTTGCACTTACCATCACACCTGCTAGGCCAATGTTTTGTCACGGGACTACACCCCCAGACCTGAATTAAGTATTTTAAAGGGTCTCATTTAGGCCCGAAGGGGGGTTATCTGGCTCACTTACACAGGATCGCAGGTAAGTATACACTCTTAATCTACAGGCAGGGCGTGGCTCTGGAGGCTGGCCTCTGCATCCGCTGGGTGTGCAGGCGTGTGTGTGCTGACGGGTTCGCCCAAAGCCCTTTCCTGAGCGTCACCTGCGAGCATTCCGCACCCGCACGAGCTGGTTCGCGGGCGTGGCAGGGGTGGGACTCAGAGGCACTACAAGGCCGGGGTCCGAGGTTGGCTCCGGGGCAATGGTGGTACGTTAAAGAACCGCCTCAGTCGTCTCCCCAGCTTTACTTCGCGGAGCGCCCGCGCTGCTCGGGGGCGCAGGTCCCGCGCCGGCACTGCGTTCCCGGGACACGGGCGGAGGCCGCCGCCGTCCTGCGCGCCCACAGACCGACAGAAGCGCAGCGACTCATCCGCACACACGCGCCCGTCCTCGGGGGCCACGGGCCCCTCCTGGCCACCAGGGTCCCACAGACGCCACCCCTGGGATGGGGACGGGGCTGGTGGTGTGAGGGGTATTGGCAGCCAAGGCGCAGCCCCTCCGCTGACTTCCCCCGGCGTCCACAGAGCCTACCTGGCAGCCAGGCAAGCTCCCGCTTGGCTCCGGAGAGCGCTCTGCGCTTGCGCTCTGCAGGAAGCACAGGTGGGGGGGAGGGGCTTCGGCTCACCTATTTCCCAGGACCCACTCAAAGGGAAACAAACTTACCGCTGGCGGACTGAGAAGACCTGGCCAGTGCGATTGCGCAGGGCCAACGTTCCGCGCATGCGCTCTGCCCTCGTTTCCTGCAAGCGGGCGTTCGGGAGGCGGGGCATCCGGGTCCCTAGGCAGCTACCGTCGGCCCCCACCCCTACTCCAGCTCAGCTGATCGGCTGCTGCCGGACCCGGAGGTGAGGCGGATCCCAGCGCCACCGAGAGCGTGCACGTTGACATCAGACACGGACCCCGGCTCCCCTGGGGTGGGGAAGAAATTCGAGTTCATAATGAACATTTTCCCCCTTGACTTCAAGGCGGGGACGTGGGGCCGACAGAGCGCGGAACTCTGCGTCGTGGGTTGACGTGGGGTTGAGCAGGTTGCGGAGGCCTGCCGTAGCACCTCGCGTTTCCCGCTCAGACCCCGCCTTGCTGGGGTGCCGGGGGACCCCCGCGCCCGAGGCCTCGCACCGCCCCAGCGTTTGCGGGGCCCGGGGCCGCCCCAGCCCCGCAGGAAGCTGCGGGAGCCTGCGGTGTGGGGTCTGGGGGTGGGGGGGGGACGGTGCGGTGCTGGAGCTGGGAGTCCGGGGTAAAAGGATGGCGGGGTGTGGGGTCGTGAGATGCTCGAGTCGGTGCTTCAGTGTTCTCAGTGGGTTAAGGATCTGTGGGTTTACTGTCGTTGTGTTGGTTTGTTTTGTGCGTGTGAGTTTTTGGGTTTTTTTGGGGGGGTCATTTGTTCGGGAATAATGCCTTTTTAAAATGTTTGCCCCATGTTAATTTTCCTTTCACTTCATGGGCTATTCTTCTTTAGCCACGCTTGTTTGTGTTTGTACCTTTGTTTCTTTCAAAATTGGTTCTCAGGTTGTGACTCAAAAGAAGTTGCTCCTCACGCCCCCCCCCCCCCCCCAAAATGAAATGAGAAGGAAAGTAAAATTTTTTCCTTTCTTTGTGGGCGCTGTCATTGAACTTGACTTTGAACATCGGGCGGAAAAAAATCCTTACACGTGTTTTTTTTTTTTTTAATCTGTTCATTTAAGGTGTGAATTAAACACTTCAGCAATGGAGCTAGCTCACAGTCTGTTGCTAAATGAAGAAGCTTTGGCCCAGATCACCGAAGCAAAAAGACCAGTTTTTATCTTCGAATGGTTGCGATTTCTTGATAAAGTCTTGGTTGCTGCCAACAAGGTATGGCATTGTTTCTTTCCTACAATTGGATTGACAGAGATTAAAGAAAAAGTGATGTTTTGGAAAGGTGTGAGTCACTTAGAGAATTTGATAATATTTTACAAACAGGAATTTCTTTTTTTTTTAATTTAATTTTATTTTATTTGAGAACATACTGTACAGAGGGGTTACAATTACATGGGCAGGATAATGCATACATTTCTTACCAAGCATTGCAGCCTCCTCCTTTGTTTACCCTTCACCTCCCTTCCCAGCCTCTCCCCTCCCCCCCCAATCATACCCCCCCCACACACACACACCGACATTGTAAAGCTGGTTTTGACATGACATTTTGTACTTCTCATTGTTGCAACAGGTCCACCTGAATCCTTAAACGACTTGTTTGTCCCCGGCTCCTCCACATGTTATACTGACATCAAATATAGTGAAAGGGGGGGGGGGGTTACACTGTGGGGGAGGGACATACAAAGCAACAAAGAAATAATCTTATAAATGCGTTAGAAACACATGCATGAAAGAAACAAAAACATTAAAATACATATTTGAGGGTTCGTTTTCCTAACATCACATTCTCTGACTTTTTCCGCTTGACTCATACCTATACTAGATATTGCAAATAAGGGAAACCATGGGACCTATGTTTCTTTGGGCCTGGCTTACTTCACTTAATATAATTTTTTCCAAGCCTTTCCATTTCCTAACAAATGGGGAAATGTCATTCTTTCTGATGGAGGCATAGAATTCCATTGTGTATATATACCACATTTTCTTGATCCATTCATCTACTGAGGGGCATCTGGGTTGGCTCCATATCTTAGCTATGGTAAATAATGCTGCAATAAACATAGTTGTGCTGGTAGCTTTAGTGTGGTCTTTTTTGTAAACATTAGGGTAAATGCCCAAAAGTGGGATTGCTGGGTCATAAGGGAGTTCTATGTGAAGTCTTTTGAGGAACCTCCATACTGCTTTCCAAAGTGGTTGAACAAGTTTACATTCCCACCAACAATGAAGTAAGGTTCCTTTCTGTCCACATCCCCTCCAGCATCTGTTGTTGTTAGAGTTCTTGATTTTTGCTGTTCTAACTGGAGTGAGGTGATATCTCAATGTTGTTTTGATTTGCATTTCTTTTATGGCTAGGGATGTTGAACATTTCTTCATGTGTCTATTGGCCATCCTTCTTTCTTCTTCAGAGAAGCTTCTCTTTAAGTCTTTCGCCCACTTACTTATTGGGCAGTTGTTTCTTTGAGGATTTGTTGTTGGGTGGTTTAATTTTTTGAGTTCCAAGTATATTTTAGATATGAGACCCTTGTCCGTTGTATGGCTAGTAAAGATCTTCTCCCAATCTGTGGGCTTTCTATTGATCTTGCTAGCTATGTCATTTGCCCTGCAGAAGCTCTGCAACCTTATGCAATCCCATTTGTCCAACCTTTCTTTGATTTGTTGTGTTTCCGGGTCTCTATTCAGAAAATTTCGGCCTGAGCCAAGGAGACCCAGGGTTTCTCCTATTCCATCCTGTAATGTTTTCAGAGTGTCTGCTTTGAGTTCAAGGTCTTTGATCCATTTGGAGTTGATTCTGGTGCAGGGTGATATATAAGGGTCTAGCTTTAGTTTTCTACATGTAGTTAACCAGTTTTGCCAGCACCATTTACTGAAGAGGCTGTCTGTCTTCCATTCTATTGTTTTAGCTCCCTTATCGAAGATTAGATGGCTATAGGTCTGTAGGTTCATTTCTGGGTTTTCTATTCCATTGGTCCTGAGGTCTGTTCTTATGCCAATACCAAGCTGTTTTGATTACTATGGCTTTATAGTAGAGTTTGAAATTTGGTATTGATATTCCTCCAGCAGTGTTCTTTCCGTTGAGGAGCGTTTTTGCTATTCGGGGTCTTCTGTTGTTCCATATGAATTTTTGGATTGCCTCTTCTATACAAACAGGAATTTCAAGTCAATTTTTTTTCTGTTGTGGGAAAACGCAAACCTTGTTTAAATCCTGCTCATTGCCCACTTCGTGTCACTAGCTAGACAGTTCAGTAAGACTGGAGAAAGAAAAGCATCATTCTTTGACTGGTGTCATTTGAAAGTCATCACCAGCAACTGCAAGTGGTCACCAGGCTTTGTATGGAATCAGTGTGTTCACTTTTCCCCCTGAGGAGTTAGAGATTTTTCCTCCCTTTCTCCCTACCTCCCTTCCTCCCTTCTTTTCTCCCTCCCTCCCACCCTGTCTTCCTCCTTCCCTCCCTCCTTCCCATTCTTCCTATGTAGTCTGTTTTTTGCACATTTTATTTTCTTTCTTTAAAATTAGGTATTTTCTTCAAATAAGTAGTAATATTCACTCAAATTTAAGAGTGAAACCTGAAAAGTCTTCTAGACAGTGTTCACCTGCTTTTTTAAAATTCAGCTACACTGTACACTACTCTTGTTCCTGACCCTTATTATCTTAATGCTTGTCTATGTTGATTGCTGACCAGAGAAACTAGTGTTTGAAGGACCTGTAGTTGGTTGTCTGCTGGGGCAGTTGAGGGAGAAGCCTGAGGACTTCAGCATTCAGTATGTAAACACTCACTGGCGTCCCCTGTTTTGGGTCCAGAGCTGTATTTGGGCTCCCCTAGTCCAGAGATACAGTTTACTACTCTTTTTTTTAGAGACTATGCCTCTGATTGTCTTTCAGAATGCAGCAGTGATACATCTTACAACTTCTTAAAAAGATTTCAAGCATTCCCTTCATTTCTAAGTACAGTTTTACTTCCCCTTCCAGAGGTACCCAGGGCTTCACATGTGTGTATGAGGTGGTAAAGTGTTATAGAATACCTCAAGTTAGGTCTCTCCTCGGCTTTCCCTACTGGGAACTCTTGGCTTACAAATTTTATTTGGGTTTCTCTCCTATTTTCTTTATTCTTATATATTTGTGCTTTTTGTTCTTATTGTTGGCCTATGACTTTAATGGAGATTGTAGAGAGGCAGTTGAATTTGTATTCATGTGAAATCTTTTAGCTAGAAATTTGTATTTTCTTTCAAGCCTTCTGCTACTGGGCATTTCCTACCTTCCTTCCACTGAAATTGCTTTTGTCCTGCCACCACTGATCTCACATTGTCTAAAATAATGGTCAGCATTCTGTCTTATTTTATCTATGCCTTTCTTTTGAAATGCTGATCGTCAGCATTTTAAACACAATTCATTTTCAGTCTTGTGAAATCAAGAAACACATAAGTTTATAACATGTGTCTAAACTATGAGGCATACTAATAAGAATATTGTGTACCTTCTAAATAAAAGTAGATTATCATCTTTACACACTTTTACAATGTGGTTCCCATTAGTGGTTTCTTAAGGCAGAATTGACTTTTAGTTCCTTCCTATTCCATCCATTAGGTACTGTTACTGTCTTTACTGGCTCTTTTTTAACCCTAGATTTTCTTTTTGCTTTCTATCCCCACATACTCTTCAGTAATATCATTTAATCTTAATTTTACAATTTCACTAACAAGGACTACAGATAGCCAATTTCTTTTCTTTTTTTCTTTTTTTTTTTTAATTCCTAGGCCTTGAAGTTTTCAGGCCTAGGCCTTTTTTTTTTTCCCTTAAGGCTAATGCTCTGCTACTGAGCCACAGCTCTGCTTCCAATTTTTTTGTGGTTAGTTGGAGTTATGAATCT